TTGTTTGTATGTGGTGCTGAGGATCGAACCCGGGCCGCACGCATGCCAGGCGAGCATGCTACCGCTTGAGCCACATCCCCAGCCCTAAAAAATTTTTTTAGTTGTAGGTGACACCGTATCTTTATTTTAATGTGGTGCTGAGGATCGAACCCAGTGCCTCACACATGCAAAGCTGGCGCTAAAGCCCCAGCCCTATTTTTTATTTTGAGACAAGATTTTGCCAAGTTGCTGAGGCTGGCTTTGAACTTGTGATCCTCCTGCCTCAGACTCCCAAGGTGTTAGGATCACAGCTGTGCACCCCACACTCTACTACCATTCTTTATACAATGGAGTTCGTGATTGTGGCCAAAAGAAAAAAAAAGTGACTTTAATACATGGCCTAAGAAAATTAATCTTGTGGGAAATTTAATTTAACTGGGGACTTTCTCTTTTAAAGATAATGATTCCATATTTTCAGTTGAATTTTAAAACTTGCATCCCTTATTTGTAAACTTTGCTTTTTTCTCCTAAAATGTAAGGATTTTAAAAGATTGGTTTGGTTACACAGAAAGTTGATTTAAAAAAAAAATTAGGCAGAAATTGCAAATTCAGAGGTCAGACATATAAAGAAAGGACCTAGTGAAATGACCATGTAAGACTATGAGCTTAGAAAAATATAAGAAAACCTGGAACAGCATGCCCTTCCTAAAGTCATTTGTGTATTTAAAAACTCTTTCTGCAAATGTCTGAGTGTTACCACTATTTTTATTAATAGAATTTTCTATTAAGAAGGTCCTGTGACTGCCAGTATAATTAATGTCATTTTATGCTCTATAAATACAGATAGATCATTACCTTAATCAAACCACACCCGAGGGAGCTGAGGTTGTGGCTCTGAGGTAGAGGGTGCACCTAGCATGTGTTGGGCACTGGGTTCAATCCTCAGCATCACATAAAGTAAAATAAAGACATTGTGTCTGCCTATAACTAAAACATAAATATTTAAAAATAAATAAATTAACCATACCTGAGGTATGGTATGTAGTTTTTGGTTCTATTTTTAATGAGGGCCACTATCATCTGGAATAATCCAGAAAACTGATGAAATTAAATGAAGAATGGATTTGAAACTAATCAAAGGAATGATTGAAACTAGAAATTTCAGCCTGATGAATAATACTCATGTCTGTATTTTGTATGTCATGTATGTCATTTGGGATCAGGGTTTTAGGTTTATTCTCTTAGAATCAGAACTGGATGGAGTGGGTAGAAGGAAGACTTGAGTCTCTAAAAAGAAATTTCAGAGCTGTGGCTGTGGCTCAGTGGTAGACCACTTGCCTAGCAGGTGTGAGGCACTGGGTTCGATTCTCAGCACCACATATAAACAAATAAATAAAAAGTCCATCAATAAATTTAAAAATTTTAAAAAGAAAAAGAAACATTTCTGCCAGACTTGGAGGCACACACCTCTATTCCAGCAACTCCAGAGGCCTCAAGGCAGGAGAATCTCTAGTTAAAAGCCATCCACATCAACTTAGCCAGACCCTGTCTTAAAATAAAAAAATAAAAAAGGACTGGGGGTGTGGTTTAAGTACCGTTGGGTTCAAAAGAAAAGAAAAAAGGAAGAAAGAAAAAGAAAAGAATTTCTGATAATCTCGCTACAACAAAAATAGAATAATCCTAAAAAAAGAAAGAATAATCCTTATTCTTATCTATGAATATCATAGAAAAGTAGGTGTTAGATTTTTTTTTTGTTTGATTTGATATTTTAAATCATACTGATTTGTTAATGTATCTAGGAAATTGGGCAGGGAACATTTAAGTCACTTAAGAATCAGAGTTTATACATGTGCTTTCATATTTGTTCAGTAAATATTTACTGAACTCCTATGTCAGGTGCTATACTAGCTATTGATGAAGCACACATTCAGATTGGAAGTGCCACTGAACATTTGTGCACATATATTTGTTCTAACTACAGGAGTATTAGTGGTTTTGGTGCTGGGGATTGATTCTGGGGCGCTTTACTACCAAGCTATGTCCCCAGTCTTTGTTTTTTGTTTTTGTTGTTGTTTTTTGAGAAAGGGTTTTGCTAAATTGCTGAGGTTGGCCTCAGCCCTCTTAAGTGGCTGGAATTATAGGTGTGTGCCATAATATACAGCTATAAGTGGTTTTTAGTTGATCTGCAGTATATAAGATTATATTAAAGTTCAGCTGTTGGAATGTTTAAGCCAAAATCATATAAAAACACATTGCAGTATGCTGTAGAGTTGACCAGACAACCAGCCTATAAGAAAACAGGAAAAATAGTAAAATTTGGAAACAAGACAAATCCAATACAGTATTGGTATCATGCCAAGAAAGAAAGTCCTTTTCCAAAATTGAGGAAATTTCATCTGAGTTTGCATGAATACTCTGCAATAGAATAATGTTTATTTGCCTTGTTGTTAAATGTGGAAGTGATATTATCCTTGGATGCCAGCTTCTGTTACATATGCAAAACTTAAGTACTGTTAACGAAATTAAAAATATATGAAATTATTCGCTTTTGTGTGTGTGTGTGTATTTTGTTTTGGTACTGGGGATTGAATTTGGGCACTCGACTACATCCTCAGTCCTATCTTATTTTGTATTTGATTTAGAGACTGAGTCTCACTGAGTTGCTTAGGGCCTTATGCTTTTGCTGAGGCTGGTTTTGAACTCTTTTTTAAAAAAAAAAAATATTTATTTTTTAGTTGTAGTTGGACACAGTACTTATTTCACTTATTTATTTTTATGTGGTGCTGAGGATTGAACCCAGGGTCTCCACGTGTGAGGCGAGCGCTCTACTGCTGAGTCACAACCCCTGTCCATAGTTTTGAACTCTTGATCCTCCTGTCTCAGCCTCCCAAGATGTGGGATTACAGGCATGCCACTACCGTGCCTGGCTCACCTCTATTTAAAAACCAAAACAATAACATTTTTATGTCACTTTGAGGCCCATTAGGAAGTTTCTTGAGGACCACTATTTGAGAATCACTAGTGTATATAATGCCTCCTCCCCCACATGCTAGGCTGTACCCCTGAACTACATCCCCAGCCCTTTTTTATATTTTATTTAGAGTTACTTAGGGCCTCACTAAGTTTCTGAGGCTGGCATTGAAATTGTAATCCTCCTGCCTCAGCCTTCTGAGCCTCTGGGATTACAGGCATACGCCATCACCCCTGGCAATTTGTGGTTCTTGAATACTAGAAAACATAATTTGGAAGATACAAGTAACTTTTAATAATATCTTGCAAATTAAATGTTAGTAACTTGATGAAATCAAAATACAATGTAAAATTGAGATCTTAAGTAATCGCTAACCTGAATTGATCACTACATTATTACTTGATCAGTTACTTTCATTGGAAAAAAAAATTTTTTTTTTGTAGTGTCAGATATTGAACCTAGGGGTACTCTCCCACTGAGCTACACCCTCAGTATTTTATTGATTGATTGATTGATTGTTTTGAGACAGTCTTCCTGGGTTGTTCCAGGCTGGCCTTGAATTTGTGATTTTCTTTGCTCAGCCTCCCAAAGTTTACAGGTGACAGGCATGTACCATTGCGCCTGGCTTCGTTGAAACTTTCTGGGGGGGGAGGGGACCTGGCACTGGGAAATTTTAGGACAATCACTTTATCAAAACTGAAAAATAGTTATTTTTAAGGGGGTTTCACACTGAAATATACTTCTGCTTGGTGGGTGAACAGCAGATTTCCCTATACCTGTCTAAAAGGAAAAGAAGGGCTGGGGATATAGCTCAAGTGATAGTGCTTGTCTTGCATGCACAAGGCCCTGGGTTCAATCCCCAGCACCAATGGGGAAAATCCCAAAGTCATGCAAAAGTAGACTCAAATTCATTGTTGATCATAAATGACATCTTATGTTCTTTCTTTTTAGTGAGATCCCGTACTATAGGTGAACTTTTAGCTCCAGCAGCTCCTTTTGACAAGAAATGTGGTCGTGAAAATTGGACTGTTGCTTTTGCTCCAGATGGTTCATATTTTGCTTGGTCACAAGGACATCGTACAGTAAAGCTTGTTCCGTGGTCCCAGAGCCTTAAAAACTTGTAAGATTCTTTTTTCCATCTTTTCTCTCAATGTAGAGTAATAAAAACATTTTGATATTTTTTATGGACAGTGTTATAAATGTGTTTTAATCTTAGGCTATGTGAAGAATTGTCTGGCTTTAGTTATACATTGAAGAATATTTATATCTTTTAAATGTACTTATAATACCTCTGTTGGGCTTGAGTTTGTATATTTGTTGGAAAAAATGTTTTTAAACTATCATATACTAATTTTTATCTTTTCCTGCCTTTTGTGTCTAATAGGCCATCATGGTTACATTCATTAATACCCTTATTACATATTACTTTAAGCCTAAAGGAATGGGAAACTGATGATTATGGTTTGAGATGTTTGGGTTTTGCTAAAGGTAGTTTTCTAACATTGACTTAATAATATCTTAAGTCCCATTGTCCCAGGTGTGGAATACCTATTAAAAACTTAAGTTGTACAATATGTACCATTTATGATAACTTTTGAAATGTTTTTAGAGTTCTACCCTTTTGAGAAAAATACTAGGTGAAAGATTAGAGCATTTAAAAAAAATATGTGAACTATATGTATAGGATATATTTTCTCTAGATTACAGTTTTCAAACTCTGTTAATGTACCTGTGTCACTTTTGTTAAAGTAGTCACATAATGGAAAACTTGGAACTTAATGAGTTAAATTACTTGAATTTTTTTGTTTGTTTATACTTCTGCTTTTAGGTTAAGGGAGTCCAGTTGAGATAGTGGTTTTGAGGAAAATTTGGGAGGCAAATGAGTTATACATTGCTTTATTTTTTAATTTTTTTATTATTTTTTTTAAAGTTTTTTTAAAGAGAGAATTTTAATATTTATTTTTTAGTTTTCGGCAGACACAACATCTTTGTTTGTATGTGGTGCTGAGGATCAAACCCGGGCCACAGGCATGCCAGGCAAGCGTGTTACTGCCTGAGCCACATGCCCAGCCCTATACATTGCTTTATTATTGAACTTTTCCTTAGCCACTGAGCATTTATATTAATGATCTGAATTTACTCAGTCATTCCCTTGTAGTTCAAATAACAATTTTCTCTCTTCCTGTGTATAGGATTCTGTTGTGAATCATTATCAGTATAGTCAATATTGAAGTTATTTTAACAAACACTTATAATTGATATGTATAGGAAGTTGGAGTAAATAATAATTCAGTTTCATTCTGGCTTTTCCTTCAGTCTCTTGCATGGCACCAAGAATGTTATTAATTCAAGCAGTTTAAGATTGCCAAGACAAAATAGTGATGGTGGTCAGAAAAATAAGCCTCGTGAACATATTATAGATTGTGGAGATATAGTCTGGAGTCTTGCTTTTGGGTCTTCAGTTCCAGAAAAACAGAGCCGCTGTGTAAATATAGAATGGCATCGATTCAAATTTGGACAAGATCAGCTACTCCTTGCAACAGGATTAAACAATGGTCGTATCAAAATATGGGATGTATATACAGGTATGGATCCATAGGTTTTTTTTTTTTGTGTGTGTGTGTGTGTGTGTGTGTGGTGTGCTGTCTTTTTTTTTTTTTAATTTTTATTTATTTTTTTTTGGATCCATAGTTTTAAAAGCAAACTTGATTATTTTATGATGCAGGGCACTACTCACAGGCATTAGAATATATGATTGAAGATTTTAACATACTAATAAGCAAGAATTTATGTTATGAGTATTTTATAATTGCCCTGAATAGCATCCTCAGCTCATGGTTTTAATTTAGGAAAACTGTGGAGTTCACATTGGTCCATAATTCCTGAGAGAATATTGCAATAGGGGGCTGGGGATATAGCTCAGTTGGTAGACTGCTTGCTTCACATGCACAAGGCCCTGGGTTCAATCCCTAGCACCACAAAAAAAAAAAAAGAGAGAGAATATTACAATAGAAAGGGCATGTCTAGGGAGTGTTTAGTTAATTATCATTTATATACTAGTAATTTAGTTCATGACTCAAATAGCAAGGTGTTTTCTTACATACTTTCTCAATGATAGTTTAGAGGCTTTCAAGGAAAATCAGGTTTTAACAATCATTGTCTAACCCTTGAAAAGTTTTAGTGACTGTTTATCTAAAGTCTAAGCAGGTAGGTTGAGAAGTTAAGTTCTTTGGACAATTAAAAAGAAATGTTTTGTTCATTAAAAAGAAATGTTTTAATTTCATTAAAAAGAAATGTTTTTGTTCATGTAGAACAGTTTCTGGAATATATTATGTGCTCAGGAATGTAAAAGAATTTAAAAATGTAGATTAAAGCAGGGCATATCTTGGAACACAGCAAGTGATTCTAACATTGAATGGGGATAATGAGTCAAAATTTTAGTTATTAAAAAAATTCAGTGTAAGCACATAGATTTAAATTCTAGAAAATGAAACTATTAACAAGAATAGATAAGTAAAATACATTTTCCCACTGTGTTCTAAAATTAAGATTGTGGAATAATATGTCTTTTGGAGAGTTTAATAGTCTATTAGTAATCAAAAGGCAAACAAATACAAAGAAAAAGTGATTTTGTATTTTAAAATTATACCATACAGTGCTGGGGTTGTGGCTCAGCAATAGAGTGCTCGCCTAGGACATGTGAGGCCCTGGGTTTGATCCTTAGCACCACATATAAATAAATAAAATAAAGGTATCCAATTACAACTAAAAAAATAAATAATAAAAATTTTAAAAAAATTATACCATACAAAGATTTACAAAGTGATGATAATATTGTTGTCTGGTCTCTACCCCTACCCCACCCCCACTACTGGTGATTAAGCCCAGAGCACTCTCTCACTGAGCTACATCTTCAGTTCCTTGGTCCTTTTTATTATTAGGGAGACCGGGAAGTTGCCAAGGCTGGCCTCAAATTTGTCTTATGGTTTTTCTTTTTTGGTAGTGCTGGGGATTGAACCCAGGGCCTTGTGCATGCAAGGCAAGCAGTCTACCAACTGAGCTATATCTCCAGCCCTGGCTTCAAATTTTGATTTTCTTGCCTCAGCCTCCCAAACTAGCTGGAATTACAAGGGTGTGCCACCATGGCTACCTGCAGAGACCTTCCTTTTTATTAAATTAACTTGATCCAGAAATTTGTTTAGATTTTGGGAATTCCCTTTTAATTATTCTAATAAAGTTTGGCTTGCTTATCATGAGAATGATCCATTTTGAAACACTATAAGTAGCTATTTCTTACAGGTAACAATAATAGTACTAACAAATAAATATTTAATACTTGGTAAACCAAGGAGATGTCCCAAGAATTTTTATTCATATTTTCAAAGTAGTTAGCAACCTGTTTTTCAAAAATGGAAGCTGATAAAAAGTATTAATATTGTCTTTTTTTCCCTCCCATCACATTTAGGAAAACTCCTCCTTAATTTGGTAGATCATACTGAAGTGGTCAGAGATTTAACTTTTGCTCCAGATGGGAGCTTGATCCTAGTGTCAGCTTCAAGAGATAAAACTCTTCGAGTGTGGGACCTGAAAGATGATGGTATGTCTTTATTTCAGGATATGAAAAATGATTAGTGTTTTGATATTGCTATTGAAAGATATTGGGAACATTGGGAGCATTCAGCTTTAAAAATGGTATCTGATCAAAGTTTCGTTTTTTCTATTTACTCTTTTGGTCTCTTTCCTGTAAACATCAAAAGAAACATAAATGTGAGCCAGAATAGGAGCCAGCAGTTATGATAAGTGAATACTCTGATATTATTTAGAAACTAACCACACAGATCTATATCAACTGTTTTGAAGACAAAATCTGGATCATTTTAGGTTATATATAACAGGTCTGTGTTAGTTTATTTCCTTTTATTTTAGGGAGGATTATTAATATCCTACATTGCTTAGTGAAAAATAGACCATGAAGCAACAAATTTAATAGAATCTGCTGGTGCTCTTAACAGATTCAGGCGGGAAGTGACAAACTTACCTAAAAGTAATAGAGTTTAAATTGAGAATGTAATAGGAAACAAACTCCTCAGATTTAGAGCCACTCCAGAAGTACCTCCTGCATTTTATCAATTCTAATTGTTCAGCTGTTGGTCATATAGCTATGCAGCTATGAGCTGCAGCACATAGCTATATGACCATATAGCTATGTGCTGCAGGTATAATATAAGCAAGGACTTTGGAGTGATGAAAATTTTTGGGATGAAAGGCATTTTGAAGATGTCTTTTAAACTTGGTGTGTTCAATCCTTTCATTTATAGAACAGGGAAACTGGACTAAAAGAATTTTATCTTTTATGGATGAAGGGTCACAGACATTAAAGGATTGGACAGTAAATATTTTTGGTTTGTGGATCATGCTGTCTCTGCTGTAGTAATGTAACAGGAAGAGAGATGTCTCTGGAGAAGGGTCCCAGTAGTTCTCAGAGAAGAGGGGGACTTCAACTCAGGACCACCAGGGTTCTTGGTATATGTGACAGAAAAGAATTTCAGCATGAAATTTAGGAAGGTAGTTATAAATTGAAGGGAGAATATGGGCTATTTTGAGAGAGAAGCCCTGCCTTTTGCTGGGGTTCCAATATTTACAGAAAGGATGTGTCAGGGGCCAGGCTGGAGGTGGAGCTAGGGTGCCCAATTTCGTGCCAGTTTTCCCTGCACTTGCCTGGCATGGGCCATCTGTTGCTTAAGATATATAACTGTGCTTTCTGCATCTCAATGGCTTGTGAGATTCAGTGTTTTTCTCTCTTCATTCTGAATTCCTATCTCAGTAGCACAACATAAACAAATGTGCAAGATTATACTTTAGTAAAATTTAATTTATAAAAATAAGTGACAGTATATATTACTAACTTCTGTTATGATTACATTGCTTTCAGCTATACAAGTTTATGATACTGTGATTTACTGCCATTTTGAAATGCTGTTCATTTGAAGTGCATTCTAGGGTTGACATAGATACTTCTTTTTGTTCAGGAAACATGATGAAAGTATTGAGAGGACATCAGAACTGGGTGTACAGCTGTGCATTCTCTCCTGACTCTTCTATGCTGTGTTCAGTTGGAGCCAGTAAAGCAGTATGTGTCAAAGTTCTTGTACATTCATTGTGAATTGGATTATAATAATGTGTGCATAATCATTTTAAATCTAAGTAAGCTATTAAGTCTGTGCTCGGTGTCATGAATATCTTCAGTGTTTTATTTCATCATGGGGAGAATTTGAAGGAAATTAAATTAAAGTTTTAAAAGTTAATGATTGTGAAGTGAGAAGTTGGATTCCTCTTAGAGATATTTATGAAATAAGGGGTATGTCAAATTTATTTTTTGTAAGATTAGGAAAGTTTTTATGCTATAGAAGAGAGCTAGTCCATATCTTAAGGCATTCTCTTGCTAATTATTTTCTTCTCTGTTGTTCTATTTTTTTGTCCAGTTTGCTGATTTTAAAGTTTTGAGTCCCAGCTGGTCCTGGACATTTAACTGAAAAAAAGTTACTTAAAAACATAATAACGAAAATAATAATAATAAAAACAGACTCAAATAAAAACAATCATCTAGTGAATTATAGAAGCAATTTGATATTGTCTGTCTTATGTAGCATATCTATAGACAGTTTTAAGTTACATGACTCTTCAGAAGGTTATGCTTCTTTATAATGATCTGTTCTAGTTGTTTACCACCACCTCTGAGTTAGTATAGCTAAAGAGATCTTAATAGCTTCAGATATTTATGAAATGGTTAAAGTCCAAATACATGTGACGAAATCAGTAGACTCTGAATTAATGGGGGGCTAGAGGCTAGTTAAAGTGCATTTTTATTAGCCAAGAGATTTATTAAAATGATAGTTGCAAATTAGAACAAAATGCACAGTTCTTTTAAAAATCATAGAAGAACAAAGCTAGATGTTTACATTGCTATTTTAGGCTGTGTGTTTTCCATATGCTTCTTGCTTTCCCTGTCACAGGTGGTGGCAGCAATATTGGTGTGATTGAGGTTATGCTGGCACCACTCGCACACAGGCGCACAATGGTGTTAGCTGGGCAGAAAGAGTGGCATCTCTGGCTACCGGGCTGGGGGCGACCTTTACCATAGGATGAAGTAACCTTGCATTCGGCTGCAAGGTGTACTGTACGTACACAGGTGCTGGTCGATGTCCACTTTCTGCTTTTCTTTCTTTCTTTTTTTTTTTTTTTTTAAAGTAATCTTCCCCACAGTGAAATTTACTGACTCCTTTGAGTAAATTGATCTTCCAGTATGGTAGAAAGAGGAGTCTTGACAAGTGAAACCAACTTAATGTAAAGTAATTGGCTTTCGGATGGTTTCTCTGCTATTTTTTTTGGAATTCTTTAAGATGCTAGAGATAACCTTAAGTATTTAATGCAATTTAAAATTGTACTTACTTTCCTTTGGAATAATGTCTTTTGTCTGTGCAGAAAAAAAGTAGTAAAAAGGATTGCTTTACTCCAAAAGGAGGAGAGATTGTCTTATTAGGATGTTATAAAATCTCCAAACTTATGCTTAATATGACAAGCTGAAGTAAATATTAGAATCCAATTTAGAGCTATTCTGCACAGTCTAACTACTGATGTTTAAAATCTAAAGTGTATGTGAACTTGTTCTTAAGTAATTTAACTGTTTTATATTGAAAATGACTAATGATATTAGTCCATTTGGGAAAAGTAAGATTGGTAAATCTTAATTCACACAATTGTTGTAATTGTATTATTTTCATAAAATAGCATTTTCATGTTGTAATGTGGTTTAACATTCTTGTTGTTTGCCAAAGAAATTTCATTTGGCTTTGAAAATTCTCTTTGCTTGCAGTATCTGTTTCTCTTCCTAGGCTCACGTTGGTGACCCAAGCCTATTGTAAACAAGTGATTATCTCAAAGGGAGATGCCAATGGAGTAACAATTTGTTAACCTTTACGTTTTCTGTCTGTATATTTTTTTAAAATTTGGTAGTTTCTGGAAAAAAAAAATAAAAGAAAAGGGTTGGTAGTATTTAACCCTATTTATTTCTGTATATTTTAGTTAATTTTTTAAATAAGTGAATTTCAGTAACTTTGTGGTTAAATTGCATTGCCTTTATTTTTATGCTTAGGCTTATTTTTTAAATTAACATTTAACAGAAACATTTGAAATAGAATTTTGCATGTCTGCTTTAATTAACTTAAAGATTGATTTTTTTAATCTATGACACTGAGCATATTCTTTAAATTACTCATAATTTATAATGTTTAATATAATTAAATTTAGCAGTTTTAGTTTAAGATGTATCATTTTGTCCTCTGTGTGTCTGAATGAAGCTATAATATTTGTCTTTTTATTGCAGGTTTTCCTTTGGAATATGGATAAATATACCATGATTCGGAAACTAGAAGGACATCACCATGATGTTGTAGCTTGTGACTTTTCTCCTGATGGAGCATTACTGGCTACTGCATCTTATGATACTCGAGTATATATCTGGGATCCACATAAGGGAGACATTCTGATGGAATTTGGGTAGGTTCAGCATGAACTATTTAGTGTGTAGTCCATTGGTGGTTATCACTAATAGTTTTTAAAAAGTTAATGTGAATAATTTGAATTGCTAACATATGAAATATAACATTAGTCTGTCATAAATTAAAATTTTGTTGTTTAAACTTTTTGAATAATGCAGAGCTTTAAATATAAATTCCCAAAATAAGTTTGGCTTTCATGATATAGGTCTTCCTATTTAACAGTACCCAACTCTGTAGAAATGATAATTATAGTGTGTTTTTTTTTTTTTTTTTTTTTGTGTGTGTGTGTGTGTGTGTGTGTGTTGCTGGGGATTGAACCCAGGCCTTGTGCTTGCTAGGCAAGCACTCTACCAACTGAACTATATCCCTACTCCCTAGAGTTTTTGTGTTAGGGAAAAATAGCCAGAACCAAAGTTGGGCTTTTTTTGTTTTTAAAGAGAGAGTGAGAGAGGAGAGAGAGAGAGAGAATTTTTTTTAATATTTATTTTTTAGTTCTCAGCGGACACAACATCTTTGTTGGTATGTGGTGCTGAGGATCGAACCCGGGCCGCACGCATGCCAGGCGATCGCGATACCGCTTGAACCACATCCCCAGCCCCCCAAAGTTGGGCTTTAATTGTAGTGTTTTAAACCATATTATGGAAAAAAAGATTAGTAATTGTTTCAGGTTCTCTTTAATTCAGCTGTATCAGCTCTACCCAGTCTTCTCAGTTGTATTTATTAAGGCTACTTTAAACCTTGTATGTACTTTGTACTTTGGCAGTTTTGTTGCTTGAAGTTTCTGTGATAGCCACTAAAAACATGTATTTGACTTTAGGCACCTGTTTCCCCCACCTACTCCAATATTTGCCGGAGGAGCAAATGACCGATGGGTACGAGCTGTATCTTTTAGTCATGATGGACTGCACATTGCAAGCCTTGCTGATGATAAGTGAGTGTGTGAATCACAGTTTAACTTTCTTATTACTTCTTAAATATTTCCTTTCATTCATCTGCTTCATGAAAACACTCAAGTCATAAAATATTGGTCATATTATCTATAAACAGTATCCATGTAAACTAATGATAATGCATGCCTTTCTTGTTCCTTGTTTGATGAGACAAACCAGGCAGATTTTTAATCAGCTTTTAGCTCAGTTCACAGAGGTTTTTTTTTTCCTTAAAGTAATATCTTATAAAGGGTGAAGCAAAAGGAAATTTCTAAAGTAAAATAGTAAAAGCAATAGTTTGTATCCACTGCTATTTAGGCTAGAAGATGAAATGTCACATGAAAAGGATATGCTACTTATTGATAAGCAGAAACTAATCACAGCCTTTCCATTTTCTTACGGTTTATTAATGTAGAGTTCATGGATATAGCTTTGAGTAGTTTTTTCACATCATGTCATAAAGCTAATCATTATCTTTCCAGAATGTTAACAAACATAACAAGAGGAGTTCTTACCAACAACCATTGTTTTCCTGTTTACTCAGATTCTGAATGTAGTTCTCTGCTGTATTTCTAGATAAACTCTACCTGGGTGAAAAGGCTTTACTTGGAAAGGCATTAAAACAGATTCTGATTATGTTTAGAGTCTGAGAAAGTAAGGAGAAAAGCTTGTGATGTTGTAAACATTACAAGTCTCAATACTGGGATGGGAAGGCAGCCATGCAGTGTAGTCTCTTTGGAGTTGATCAAGATCATCAACTCTTAGAGGTCATAAAATATTTTATTATTGCCCATTGGTGTGATTTATATATGTGTTTTGTTATTTATGATACAATGACATTTCTCTCTGAATTTTAAGTTTTCTTTTACCTTGAATTTTCTACTAGATACTCATTAGATAACATTTTCCTTCTAGAATGGTGAGATTCTGGAGAATTGATGAGGATTATCCAGTACAGATCGCACCTTTGAGCAATGGTCTTTGCTGTGCCTTTTCTACTGATGGCAGTGTTTTAGCTGCTGGGTAAATATGTATTTCTCTTTTCTTAAAAAGGCAAATAAGAGCTGATGATGTAACTCTTTGTGATAAAGTACTTGTGTAGCTTGTGTAAGGCCTTGGGTTTGAGCCTTAGTACCACCAAAAAAAAAAAGAAAAAGAAAAAGAAAAAAAACGAAAAAAGGGTTGACATAGCATCACACTGTATGTAATCCCAGTGACTGGGGAAGCTGAAGCAGGAGGATTGCAAGTTGAGGCCAGTCTCTGCAACTGAGATCTTGACTCAAAAAAATAAAAAGGGATGGATATAAAGCTCAGTGATAAAGTGCCCCTGGGTTCAATCGCCCATACCACGAAAGTGGAGGTGATGCAAGCTAAGGTGGCTTTTAGGTAAAACAGACAGTAGTTTGTTGTCAATAAAATCTCCCCTAAATTCTTTGTTACTGGGGATTGAACTCAGGGGCACTGACAACTGAGCCACATCACCATCCCTTTATATTTTTATTTTTTTAATGTTTTTGTTTTTCATCTTTTTTATTGTTTGTTTTTTATTTATTTTTATGTGGTGCTGAGGATCGAACCCAGAGCCTCACATATGGGAGGCAAACACTTTGCCACTCATCCCCAGCCCCTCACCAGCTATTTTTAGTGTTTTATTTAGAGACAGGGTCTCACTGAGTTGCTTAGCACCTCGATCTTGCTGAGGCTGGTTTTGAACTGGTGATCCTCCTACCTGAGCCACTCATGCCACTGAGCCTGGATCTAAATGCTTATATATATATATATATATATGGGGGGAGAGAGAGAGAGAGAGAGTAGTTGGAAACAATACCTTTATTTTACTTAATTTTATGTAGGCCTTGCACATGCTAGGTGAGTGCTCTACCACTGAGTCACAACCTCAGCCATAAATGCTTTTTATACTACAGTTATTGCCTTGTCATTTGAGTACATGATTGGTTGGTTCTTAATTAGGTTTTAAGGTGTCATTTGTGATTCAGTACATACAACCTCAAATGGTAGTTGTTTGAGCTCTAGGGACATATGCAATACATATACTTGGGTGACTGAATTTATGCTTTTTTTGTTTGTTTCTGTTTAGGACACAAGATGGAAGTGTATATTTTTGGGCTACACCAAGGCAAGTTCCTAGCCTTCAACATTTATGTCGAATGTCAATCCGAAGAGTGATGTCCACCCAAGAAGTCCAGGAGCTTCCAATTCCTTCCAAACTTTTGGAGTTTCTTTCCTATCGTATTTAGATGACTGTTTTTCCTACTACTAGAAATTGACAGAATATACTTTACAAACCTCAAGCTTTAGTGACTTCAAATATGTTTTTAAAGGTTTGAAAGAATTATTTAATTTGATACATTATGTGCTACATTTTCATCATTTGAGCTTCTAAAATATTATTTATAGACTGTAGGAGAAATTCTGAACATACATGTAAATTTTTTAAGATTAACTGTGAAAACATATACATACATGTATATATTTAGATATAAGCTGCTATGTGTTAAATGGACCCTTCCTTTGCTTTTTTAATTTTTAGCTCAGACCTGTATATATTGCTTCCATAGAACTACAAAAGTATTTTTGCTGTAGAGAGCTTTTTTTTTTAATTTGGGGATACTGAGTTAGATGATAAATATTGAGTATTGAGGCTGAATTGCCTCAGACACAATGAATTTGGTTGGAGAGTGTGTATTTCAGACTGACCTACAAGTGAAACAGTTTTTGTGTATGGAAAAGGATTTTGTTTTCTTTAGGGATGGTATCTGAGAGGAGGAGTTTGAATGTGACACTATTAAAAAAGAAGAAGAAAGAAAAAAACAGAGTATAACTTAAAAGTGTATCTTTTTCTTGCCTAAATACTACTGTGAGCCTTAATGTAAAAAACAGCTTGCCACCTCACCCCTGTGCTATAAAGTATTATACATTGTAGTCAATTTGAAATATCCCTCTACTGTATTATTGGTAGATATTTTGTTTGTATTAAGGGACAACTATTTTAAGACCTTTTTTTTTTTTTTTTTAATAATGTTCTGTGTTTCTGCAGAGGATATAATATTGGTGACTTGCCAAAGAGAAGCAATATCTGCTTTTACCTTCTGGTATTTATCTTATCTGCAGATAATTAGAATGTATGCATTATATAAAATGCTTGATTATATATTTTTGTTGAGTTTTTTTTTTTAAATTAAAGTCTTGTGAAAAAACAATGTATTTGTCTGTTTCCACTTAAGATTGATAAAGCAGCACAAGCAAATCCAGCAAAAAAGGTGACAGAAATAGTATAAGACTAGGGCATTGCTTTGTTTATTTTGTGATGGGGGTCTCACTATGTTACCCAGACTATTCTTTTTTTCTTTTTTTTTTTTTTAAGAGAGGGGGGGGGAGAGAGAATTTTTTTAATATTTATTTTTTAGTTCTTGGCGGACACAACATCTTTGTTGGTATGTGGTGCTGAGGATTGAACCCGGGCCGCACGCATGCCAGGCGAGCGTGCTACCGCTTGAGCCACATCTCCAGCCCCACCCAGACTATTCTTGAATTTGAGGACTCAAGTGATTCTGCCTTAGCCTCTGAGAGCTGGTGCACAGCTGTGGATTTGCTCGGCTTTACTTATTGCTTTAGAGTTAATTCAGTGCCTCAGGAGTCTAGCAACTTGTATGTTGTTTTAAGAAAACTCTTGTGGTAATGCTTTCTTTCAAAGCATAGAAAAGCTCTAGAGTTAAGGAAAATGACTATTAAGGAAAAGAAAAATGTGATCTTTTGGGGGAACTAACAGATTTATAATAGGAAATCTCTCTGCTTAAGGTAGATAAAATAAAACTCTAGTAGTATGGGTCTTTTGAGAATGCAGTAAAAGAAAAAGAAAAAAAACTTTAGCTGTGTATAATATTAAAGTCTTGTTTCCACTGAGAAATGTTGGAACAACTTACAGTTCTGTGAGAAGATTTAAAAAATTATATAGTAGGTTATGAATTTGAAAGCCAGGAGAAAATCTGCTCTTTTACAAAGAGCAGCACAAAAGATATCTAATCTTTCAGTCTCTGATGACTTCTTAAAATTTTTTTACTTTATAATATATCTGCTCTATAATTTTAAAAGAGGATACCATTACTTATTCTCCACAGCATTAGATTATTTACTTTCTCAAACAACAAACCTAATCAAGTTAAAGATAGTTGATTGGAAGATGTCCAGATTCAGTCATTTGATCAAATATATTTCTTTTGAGATGTTCATAATTCTAATTTTTTTGTGAAAACAAAAAAAATAGTGCCGATATGAAAATAAGATTGAAAAATATAAGTCAATAGAAACATGTTTGAATTTTTCATTCCCTTAAGAGAAGAAGATACAGAATAGTGATACTTTAGATTGAATGACCAAAGGAAGAGGGTTCTTGACTTGGATCAGATTGCAGCTGCATGATTTTAAATTGTTTCTCATATTCTTCACCACAAGCATGTTATTTGAACAGGCAAGATATCATTTGAGTTCAGATTTGATTTCCTGTTTTGGTACCTGATGGGGTGCATTTGAATGCAGGAAAATGTTTTTTGTACTTGGCAAACCAGCCACCCTTTGAATGATCTTGGGTTGCTAAATTTCAAGTTGATGATCCTTGAAGTTCCCTGCCTGTTTTGTGATTGAGATAAAGTTGGATATGACTGGTTTGCACTGCCCTTAGGACAGTCAGGCTGAACAAGGCCTGAGAGACACTAGGATGTTTCCTAGTGGAGGCAGTGACAGGCAGAGAACTTGGCTGTCATCCAGCCAGCACAAGGATAAGAAAAAAATATAAAGCATAAGTTAAACATTGTCTCATGAGCCAGAAACCACTGAAACAGTGAATCCAGCTTCATCAGAAGGAAGATTTTTTTTTTTTTTTTTTTTGGGTGGTCTGGGGATCAAACCCAGGGAATTGTGCTTGTGAGACAAGCCCTCTACCAACTGAATTATATCCCTAGCCCTTGTAAATGACATTTTATACAGTAAGTTCTCACCAAGTTCTGACCTAAGTACATTTTAACTATAGAATATATAAATTTTATAAAAAGTGCTACAATTACATAGGAGTTCATTATGTATGTCAGATAAAATCAGATAAAGCATCACTTGGAGAATACTGGATTGTTTGTTTTTAAATCCTTTCCTTGGTGTAGGGTTGTGGCTCAGTGGTAGAGAACTTGCCTAGCATGTGTGAGGCACTTCGTTCAATTCTTAGTACTATATATAAATAAAGGTCCATCAACAACTTAAAAAATATTTTAGGGGCTGGGGTTGTGGCTGAGTGGTAGTGTGCTTGCCTAGCATGCGTAATTCACTGGGTTCGATTCTCAGCACCACATACAAATAAATAAAGAACCATCAAGGGGGCTGGGGATGTGGCTCAAGCGGTAGCGTGCTCGCCTAGCATGCGTGCGGCCCGAGTTCGATCCTCAGCCGTACCACATACCAACAAAGATGTTGTGTTTGCCGAGAACCTAGAAAAAATAAATAAATGTTAAAATTCTCTCTTTCTCTCTCTGTCCCCCTCTCTCTCTCTCACTCTCTCTTTAAAAAAAAAAAAAGAACCATCAACAACTTTTAAAAAAGTATATATATTTAAAATCCTTTTCTCTCAAGAAATTATTGGCAGTAAATGCCACCTAAAGAAATGTTCATAATCTTGGCCTGTGTTTCTGTAAGGTAGTTGGAAGGAGTGACTATTAGATTAAACTGCCCTTTGCTCAGTAAAGCTTGCCTTTAACCAAAAGCAAAAATCTGGTCTGAACCAGGTGTAAGTGGTATATAGTTGGGTAAACCCGGTTTGTCATTTGATATTTCTACAGGTTTAACAGTTGAAGAATCAGAAAAGGATTAATGTAGCTGAAATTGGGGAAAGAAAAATTTTAAAATTTTTATTAACTCCAGCATTATTTATTACTATTAGAGACTGCAGTTATGGTTATTGTTATATAATAGCAGAAATCAGGAATCTTCCCCTATGGTCCCACAAAGGGAAGCTGTTCTTTTGGTTTGAAAGTAAACCCTAGGCTTTTGTTAGGAAAACCTATAGTGCAATGTTGTCTGCCACTTACTTTGATAATTATTTTTGTTTTAAATGAGGCCGGAGTACTGCGAGTTTTTAAAAAATTGTTCTTCAAAATAGTGTAAACTCCTTTCTGGGTTATACAGACAGTTGCTGGGTAGATTTCCTTGCAGAAGTATTTTTCATGTAAAGTTAGGGTGGTCTTTGTGCAAGTTTGTGGTTCTCAAACTCTCAAAGCCTTTTGTGACAGTTCCTAATGAGCAACTGTATGTGAGACCCCCTTCCTTCATAACCTCTTAGGGTTTTCTTTTTTCTTTCTTTTTTTTTTTGTATTTTAGAGACAGGGCCGCACTGAGTTGCTTAGCGCCTTGCTTTGCTGAGGCTGGCTTTTAACTCTTGATCCTTCTGCCTCAGCCTCCTGAGCTGCTGGGATTACAGGCGTGTGTCACTGTGCCCAGCCCTCTTAGGGTTTTCTAGAGGGGGTACAGGGAATTGAACTCAGGGACCTTCAACCTCTGAGCCACATCCCCCAGTCCTTTTTAATATTTTATTTAGAGACAGGGTCTCAACTGAGTTGCTTCCGGACTCAGCCTCCAGAGCAGTTGTAGATTACAGGCATGCACCACCACCTCTTAGGTTTATTTGCTTATTTTTGTAAGAGTTGACAATAAGTATTCCATTTTGATTCTAACAAGGCTCACATTTGCTTTTTTGAATATTAATTGACATTTCTTTGTAATTTTTCTGTTGGCTTTTTAGATTTTTTTTATTATACTTATAGTGGCTGCCCTAGTATTAAAAATATATAAATATATATCAGCTTTTCTGAGTTCACTGATGGTTGTCAATGTACTACTGCACATAAATATAGAAAGTTTGCAAGAAAAAAAAAAAGGATGAACTATAGAAATCTGTTGTAAGCCAGGAAATAAGAGATGAAGTGTCTATTTCCTAATAAATTTGTTTATGCTTTCCAATTGTTGATTAATAAGGAAATGTTGCCAGTGCACAAGTGCACACCGGTAATCCCAGCTACTCCTGAGGGTGAGGTAGGAGGATTGCAAATTGGAGGCCAGCTTTAGCAATTTAGCCAAGATGCTGTCTCAGAAATTAAAAAGAGGGGCTGGAGGGGCTGGGGATGTGGCTCAAGCGGTATCGCGATCGCCTGGCATGTGTGCGGCCCGGGTTCGATCCTCAGCACCACATACCAACAAAGATGTTGTGTCCGCTGAGAACTAAAAAAAAAAAAAATATTAAAAATATCTCTCTCTCTCTCCTTTAAAAAAAAAAAAAGGGGGGGGCTGGAGTTGTGGCTCAGTGGTAGAGTAATTGCCTACCCCTGGGTTTCATTCTCAGCACCACATATAAATAAATGAATAAAATAAAGGTCCATCAACATCTAAAAATATGTGTATTTTTTAAAATTAAGAATTATTATATAAAATAAGAGATTAAGGATGATGAATATTAAAAATGTGGAGAAAAATAATATAAAACATCCAGAAATGAGGCTAATACAAAATGGAAACCGTAAAGAAGTTTGCACTAAGCCAAGTATTTGGCTTTACACAAAATGGGAAACCCTGTAGATTCTATGTATTGTAGTCTCCATCTCATAGCTATTATTAAGGGAAAAGACAGTTAAAGTTTTACTATGTTATAAATGAATGTTGTCCAACCATCATTCATATGTTAAACACTTTAGGGAATGTGTTGGTATTGGGAGGCGGGGCCTTTGGAAGGTAATAAAGTCATGAGCCTTCATGGGATTAGTGCACTATAAAAAGGATTTCAGTCAAGCATGGTGGAAGGCTAAGGTAGGAGGATTGCAAGTTCAAAAGCAGCCTGAGCAACTTAGCAAGACACCATCTTGAAAATAAAATAAATAAAACAAGCTAGGGTTGTGGCTCAATGGTTAAGCGCCCCTGGGTTCAATTTCAGTACAAAAAAAAAGGGGGGGGAGGGGGGATGTTATTTCAGGGAGCCCCAATCTTATTTTTACAGTGAGGATAAAATTAGATGGGGACAGAAAAGGGTCCTCACTATGCTGGGCTTATTGACACCATGCCTGTTACTCTAGGCTGAGGTTAGATGTTAGAGGACTAAAAGTTCAAGGCCAGCTTGAGCAA